CCGCAAGCCCGGGATTCCTATTCCCGCCACAAGACAAGTGGAAAAGAATAAACCCGATTGACATCATCGGCGGGTTGAATACAGATACAACTTCACCAAACCCACACAGCCTGTCTTAACCCAGACAGTCTGCTAAAGGTACATCACCCCTTCCCCTGCACTGGATTAGAATAACCCCCCTAAAACCGGCTTCCTTGGCTGAAACTAACCTAACCTAAACTAACCTAACCCGGTATTAAATCCACCCCGGTAACCCCGTTAAAAGCAACCCGGTATAAATCTGACCCCGGTAAAAAACAGACCCCGTTAACCCCGGTAAGAAATTAACCCCGTTAACCCCGGTAAACTGATCCCGTTAACCCCAGTAAAACAAACCCTGTTAACCCCGTTAACAAACCCCGGTGACAGACCCCGTTAAAACTAACCCCGTTAAACCCCGCTAGACACCCCGTTATCTGAACAGTATAAATAGAACCCCGAAGAGTGAGCCTTATTAATCAGTCTGAAGAGTACACCCAAGTACAAAACTAGTTACTGATAACTAGGGATAACTGGTCGCCTCGCCCATTTTTATCTCGCATATTCTAACTCTGCCAATGACCCAGTTATGGCTACATACGTGACCCCAGTGGGCAGTCGTGATTCCCTTTTGAACTCAGACTCAATCACTACCCTGATGGAAGACAATCCGCCGGCAAAACGGCAAAGAGTCCACTTTTCCGCCAATCAGCCTACAACAACCAATGCTAAAGCGGTGAACCTACCTGATAATATCCTCCCCTATTACAAAACTGTCAGGAACATAAGAAGCAAAATAGCTCGTTTCATATCCATAAACCTACTCCACAACCCCAAGCAAGTGGGAAAACCTACAACTATCTTGATACAGATTGTAACATCCACAACTGCTCTTATTGCAACATGCTTAAGCTCAAAAAAACGTTTTGTTCCACCGCCACTGGGAAAACCTACAACTCCAACAAAACCTGGATCTACACGAATGTTCCGCATAAGGCTGAAAGAACACTTCGCTGATATTACCTACAAGAGGGACACTCCAGTCGCCTCTCACTTCCACCTACCGAGACACTCGAGTCGAAACCTCGACTACCAAATTATTAAACAACTCGGGACCAATCCGGACCTCACACAATCCACAGCCAACCGGCGCTCCGTTGAACTTCACTGGATTATTAGACTTAAAAGCTTCCAACCACACGGGATCAATGACAAAATCTAAACTTGGACACCCCCCCCCCTTTTCCTTTTGTTTTACAATTTTCCTTAGTGATCAATGATGATTTAAGGACGTTGTAATGATTTCACCATTTATTCGAATTAACACTTGAAAATACTGCGTTTAGCAACCAATTCAATCTTTAAATAACTCACAAATATAATTGATTAATAATCAAAATAATTCAATTGAGAAAGCCTGTGAATATTAAATTAAAAACATGCCAAAATTCCTAATTTCATGGGTAATGTTTTGCTTCATACAAGATTTATTCTTGTTTTAATCAGTTATTATAGTTTATTGTGGGTATGTTATGTGCTGGAAGAGATTACTACTTGTTAACGGATATAGTGACATATAAACAATTACGAAATTTGCTAATCGATAATCGAAATTATAAATTCCTAGCGACGATGATCGATAATCATTTTACCTAAATGAGATGACATGTCAATATCCACCAGATTAACCTTTGAACCCTGAATGTAAAAATAAAACATCATATACCCTCCAAGTAATATAAATAAAGTAATATAAATAAAGTAATATAAATAAAGGCTATGACATGTGACATTGTGTTACATCATTTAGTAACCCGCGTGGGTACTTATTGTGAACTTAGGTGGCCAGTAAACCTGCCGCAAGGGTTGAAAGGGTTCATGCCATTGTCCTAGCAAAATTTCCTCCATTGCACACTGCCTAGCATTGCCTATCTTTATTTATCCTTGACTGGTAGTACCTGTATGATTAATTTTAGGTCTCAATTTAACAATCTTTTTAAGAACACAAGATATTATCTTATTTCATTTTACTTATGAACGTTACCTGTGTTTTGAAACATGGTACCTATGTAATAAATTCTGAAGTAGTACAGTGAAACAAGTCCATGTATATCTTAATGTTAACCTTTCTAGTTCTATATATCTAGAAGACAGATGTAGAATAGATTAGACAACTAGTCTATATTCCTTTCGAATAATGCCATTGTTCTGGCAAAATTTCCCTCGTTGCACACTACCTAATGTTGCCTATCCTCATCCTAGATAGAAAGTATTAGTACCTGTATAATTTATTTTAATCAATCTATTTTTCTAGAAGAAAGACGAAGAATAGATGAGACGACTATACCTGGTCATATAGAACAGATGGTATTAATTCTGGTACAGGAAGAGAGAGAGCAGCTAGAACCCGGAACCACAGGACCTTGTCTAGAATATCTCCTTCATCACAAATTACTAGATACTCTTTATACTCTCGGCAGAACAGACGTAAGTTACTGAGTTTATCATGATATAGCTTTTTGTCTTACTGGTTGTTCTATCACCTGATACAGTTCTATTTCTATAGCGTACTACTAACTACTTGTCAAACAGGGACACAGGCTGAAATAGTCCAGTTGTCTGAAGATCTCTACTTGTCAAACTTCAGTAGTGACGTAGGCTGAAATAGATCAGTTGTCTGAAGATCTCCACTAGTCAAACTTCAGAAGGAACACAGACTGAAATAGTCCAGTTGTCTGAAGATCTCTACTTGTCAAACTTCAGTAGGGACGTAGGCTGAAATAGATCAGTTGTCTGAAGATCTCCACTAGTCAAACTTCAGAAGGAACACAGACTGAAATAGTCCAGTTGTCTGAAGATCTCTACTTGTCAAACTTCAGTTGGAACACAGGCTGAAGTAGTTCAGTTGTCTGAAGATCACTACTTGTACAACTTCAGTAAGGACACAGTGGCTGAAATAGATCAGTTGTTTGAAGATTTCTTCTTGTTAAAATTCAGTAGAGACACAGGCTTAGATAGATCAGTTGTTTACACAGCATGAAAATCTGAGTAACAACATGTTGCAGATTCCCTTTTAATATTACCTGTAATCTTCTCTACCAGCTGTTTATTATTGTAGCACCCTCCTGGTATGAAACAAGTTATTCTGGTATTTTTTACCAAGTTATTATCGAGAATAGAACATCCATTACTACCCCATATCAACGTACATAGAGCTGTTCAGGTAATTACTTTACTACCCTATATCAACGTACATAGAGCTGTTCAGGTAATTACTTTACTACTCCATATCAACATACATAGAGCTGTTTAGTTATATACTTTACTAACCCATATCAACCTACATAGAGCTGTTCAGGTAATTACTTTACTACCACATATCAACATACATAGAGCTGTTTAGTTAATTACTTTACTAACCCATATCAACCTACATAGAGCTGTTCAGGTAATTACTTTACTACTCCATATCAACATACATAGAACTGTTTAGTTAATTACTTTACTAACCCATATCAACATACATAGAGCTGTTCAGGTAATTACTTTGCTACCACATATCAACATACATAGAGCTGTTCAGGTAATTACTTTACTACCCCATATCAACGTACATAGAGCTGTTCAGGTAATTACTTTACTACCCCATATCAACATACATAGAGCTGTTCAGGTAATTACTTTACTACCACATATCAACATACATAGAGCTGTTCAGGTAATTACTTTACTACCACATATCAACGTACATAGAGCTGTTCAGG